TCATTTCTATTTGATGTGATGGTGTAAATGAGACTAAAAAAAATATGTGATCGTGTAGATAGAGCTTAGCATGATTTGAGCTATGTAGAATGCTTTTGGAATTTGCTTAAAAGGTAGGATTTGGAGGTAAACTCTTGAAAGTGAATGTTAGTGAGATACCAATAGAATACTAATTGCATCTTATCTTTATTCATGAATGAAATATGTATATTTTATGTCATCATTTTTTAGTTTTCTTATAATTATGTTTAATGTTATCGAGACTTTCACCATCCCATTCCACCTTACTTATGCTTGGACATCATATATTTTTGACCATGACCATGACCATCTCTAGCATATTCTCCATCCTCAACACTTTGATAGATTATGTTTACAACCAAGTAACATTTAGCAATGTAGCCATAGAATCAATGCCATTATCCACTATTCATAATAAATATTTGTTGGACTTTTCCACTCTCCCTCCCTCCCTCATACATTCGTCCTCATCTATTATTCTTTATCAATTGGAATTAGAGCTAAATATCATTATTTTACTTTTTAGTTTAATAAAATAAACCTTATTATTTTGATTAATTCCCTTTAAACCCTATTTTGATTAAATTCAGATTTGAGAAGTACCAATTTTTCATAAAATCAGATTAATTTTATAACATATCCATTTTCACATGCTACAAATGTGAAATAAATAATCAAACAAAATTTTAAAATTTAGCAAAATTTATAATTATTTTGAAATTTTAATCCACTTCAATCAGGGTAGTTAACGACCCGATTACGGGCAGAGCTAGGGTCTGTTCGAATAGATTTACTGCAACTCGAAATCTACTCGTGATTTATTATATTTGCTTTCGAGTCGAGCTGATTTGAAATTGAATCGAGCTCGATCATGCTCAAAGTCGAAACGAGCTGGCTCAAATTGAGTTATTTGGATATGTTTCAGCTCGAAATTGACTCGTGACTCATTATATTTAATTTTACATAGCATTATATATATATATATAATTTTCAAAAAAAAATTCTATGGGCGGAGGTCTACATTAGAGTCTAAAGGCCTTCGTTTGAGTAAAACTAAAAATGTATACATTGAATATAATTTTATAGTAGTAGCTCTAGTGTTAGAGTTGTAACTATGGGTAATCAAAATTATTAAAATGTGTGAACGCCTTATAGATATCTCGAGTCTATTGTTCAAACTGTTGGTGGATGTTATTAGTAGAATTCAAGTTGGTTGGTTGAAGTGGAGGAGCACTTTGGGCCTATTGTGTGATAGAAAAGTACTGTTTATACTGAAAGGAAAATTTTATAAGATGGTGGTGAGACCTGCAATGCTCTATGGCTCTGAATGTTGGCCTTTAAAAGTGAACGCTCTATGGCACTGAATGTTGGCCTTTAAAAGAGAACAATAAAACTAAGTTAAGTGTTGCTGAGATGAGAATGCTTGGGTGGATAACTGGCTTTACACTTAGAGACAAAAAGTGAAATGAATATATATGTGATACTCTAGTGGCAGACAAAATTAGAGAGAGTCGTCTTAGCGGTTTGGTCACATTAAACGTCGAGAGTAGAAGTTTTAGAGTCAACTTATGTTAAGAAAGACAGAGATAAACCTAGAAAGACTTTGACATATTATATAAAAAAATTATCTTAATTTATTATAAATTAAATAACAATATGACACTTAATAGAATGCAATTGAGAGAAATAATTCATGTAGCCGACCCTTCTTATTGGGATAAAAGTTTGTTGTTGTTGTGGGCCAATCTAGAATCAATTCAAGTCAAAACATGTATGGTTCGAAGGCTCGTTTATCTTAATCCGAGCTTGAATTCGAATCAATTTTCACACAATTAACAACGAACGAGCTAAATTCGGCCCCCCAAACAACTTATTAGTTAAACGAACAATCCCAAATCCAAGTAAATAAAAATTTTGGGAAACTCAAATTTCATTATTTTGATTTGTTCCATTTAAACCCTATTTTTGATTAAATTCACTTGAAAAGTACCACTTTTCATAAAATTTAATGAATTTATAAAATATTTCACCTTCACATATTTTAAATATGAAATAAATAATAATAATAATAAATTATAATTATCTCGAAATTTTAATCCACTCAAAAGTTATCATCTTTATTCTCGTGGTCACAGATTGGAGAGTCGAGTGATTGCTGGATCTTGTAGAGAAAGAGAAAGAGGTCTCCTTTCTACTGAGCAGAGGCGACGGCAATGGCGATGGGAACGGCTAATTCGTTCGCGGAACTTGCCGATAAGAAAAGAGGGCAGAGCTAGAGCAGACGATAGAGATTCATATTGTCTGATTTGGCTACAGGTTAGCCTCAATTCTTTTTCTTGTTTAATGCAATGCTTGGTTTGGGAGGTAAGAGCATTTTAATATTTAGAAAAATTGCATTTTTATAGTTCTTCAGGCTTAAATGTTGACTAGTTTCAAAATAAGATCACTATAGCAAATGCTATTGACTTTTACTTTGTTAGTTAATTGCCACATACATCAAGTATTCTCCAAGCCAACGTTAGCCAGCCTTCTTGCACTCATGCCTTTTTTTTTTCCTCTAAAGAAAGGGTTTGCTCTGTGCATATGGTCTTGCTCATGCTGCATAAATGGTTGCATGTTGTTTGTAGTTTCTTCAATCATCAAATTCTCTTGTTTTCACTACAAAATTAGGGTATAGAAGGAATAGATAAGTCTTTCTTCCATGTGTGACTCACAGCACAACTCCTCTTGACATGGAAGAAAGAGCATGTTATGATATCTTACACATAGGGATGTTTCACATGTGAGTCCTTGGCTTATCGAGATGTTGTTGAAATACTTTCAATATTAGCTTGAGCTTGTTATACACATGTTGTGGCTTATTGGAAATGTGTTCTTGTCCAAAAAGTGTCGCACGTGGACTCGAAAAGTATTTTGTTGTTTAGAAGATATTTAAGAATGCTTGTGCTTCTATGTAACTTCATTTTTTAAATTTTCACCGTTGAGAAAAAAAGACAGGGAGGTACTGCAAACAGTACATTCTTGTTCCTTTTCCACATTATTGTTGGTTTGATACAAAAATAAATGCTATGGCACCCAGATCTCTCGTGCGCATTGTTACTAAAGCTGATAACATTAGTGGATGTTTTGTATGCTTTGCTAGCATCATTGAACTGCTATATTGACACTTAAAGAGAAAGTGTGCAAATATATTTTTGTACTTTGTTTGCATATATTAATATATTTCATTCCTAGATACACTTTGATCCATTTCTTATCGCCTTTTGTCATAAAGGCTCTTATTTAAACATGCCATTGAAGCTGCATGTGCTTTTAACCATGTTTCATACCAAATATATTGGAATAGAAAATATGGTTTAGGCTCATGAAAATGATGTATTTATTTTGGGAAATGCCAAGTTGTTCCAAAAGAAAACTCATCAAATTCATGCAATTGTGACTTAGTAGAATGGAACAATGAGCACTTCATTTTGATTGAAGATGTTTGTTTAATTATGGCGAACAGTTTAAACTAAGCATATGGGTGATACAATAATGTCAATAATTAGTTTTCATTGTTATATTAGCTTAGAATTAAGTTTTTTTTATTTGCAATGGCTTAATAATTTAGATATGTTTTATAAACTCTATCAAATTACTGTTTTTTCAATGAAATCATCAAAATTGAGCTAGTTTTTCGTGTTGTCTGCAAAGTAGTGGCTAAGATGTTTCCCCTTTCAAGAAGTTACCTTTATTCTTCCACAAACTTGTCCTCTTAGCCTTGTTGCCCAAATTTTGTAAGAAAATAATGTAAATCTTCAAAGCCTGATCATTGGATTCTAAAGAAACCGTAGCGAGTAAGATACTGATGTTGTTTCTGTATTTCATGTTTTTTTCCATTTTGATTTCTTGGAAATTTTCTCAATCAGTTTTATTCCTGATTAAAATCATGTTCAATAAAATTACTCTTTATAGCTATATGAACTCTGCCTTCCATATCTTTGCTACTCATCTTCTTATTTATGTTGATGCATCCAAATGAAATTGAACTCGAGGAATAGCTTTAGGTTTTTCAGCTAAAGAGGACAGCTTTTGATGATTCCATTTATATGAATAAATAGAAGAAATTGAAAAAAAATAAGGATAAAGGTTAGTGCCTTCTGTTTCTTGCTCTGGGAAGATATTTCATCATGAGAGTACCTAGTCATCTTTAAGAGTAAAGTGTCAAAATAGTCCCGTTATTGTAGAGGTGTCAAAAAGTTGACCCGATGTGCCAACTCATTCTGAACCCAACTAAAAAAATCTTGGTTTGGGTTGACTCGAATAATTTTCAAATA